CGACCAGCTTAGTCACCATCCTTCTCTCCTATGTCTGTATCATCTCCACCATCCTGAAGATCAGCTCTGCCGAGGGCCAGCGCAAAACCTTCTCCACCTGCACTTGTCACTTAATCACGGTGGGCATGTTTCATGGCAGCCAGCTCTTCTTGTATTTACGTCCCTCCTCCAGCTATTCCCTGACCATGGACAAAATGGCCTTAGTGTTTTACACTGTGGTGATCCCCTTTTTGAACCCCCTCATCTATAGCCTGAGGAATAGGGAGGTGAAGGATGCCCTGAGGAAAGTAATCTATAAACTCCTAAGCCATCCATGAATTTTTTCACTAAATTCTGTTTTAGTGAGGAGGAGAGAAAACCAGGTCAGCTCAATCCCAGCCCATTGCAATGTATTCTGGCAGAACTTGTCGTACTATTGTTAATTATTATATTGTTACAAGTATCAGAGGGGTAGCCATGTTAGTCTGAAACTGTAAAAACAATGAGAAGTCCTGTGGCACCTTATAGACTAACAGATTTATTAGAGCATAAGCTTTTGTGGGCAAAGACACACTTCATCAGGAGATCTCATTATTATAAGTCCTCATTAGACTTCTGCCCCAGCAACATTCAAGGAGGTGCCTGTTTGACATGTATGATTATACTTGTGATGTGCTTTGAAAGCAAAGAGCTGTTTGTATTGGGAAAGAAGAGGGCAGCATCAAATCAGGCTTCCTCCTTTTGATAGCTGGTTTGTTTTCATTAGGCAATTGCAAGTGTGAACGGTGTGATTTCCGTGGCTGAAGCAAAAGTTCTGCACATCCTCCTGCTACTGTGCAGCCTTTCCTGTGCTCCATGTGGTAGTGGTAGAGATTATCACCTGGGTTCTTTCCATGCACTAAGAAGGGAAAGATGTTTTCAGTCATACTGTGCTCCACTTAGGAAGGAACAATCAGTTTCACACACACAGAATGGGAAGCGACAGTCTGGGAAGGAGTACGGCAGAAAGGGATCTAGGGGTTATAGTGGACCACAAGTTGAATATGAGTCAGCAGTGTGATGCTGTTGCAAAGAAAGCAAACATGATTCTGGGATGTATTAACAGGTGTGTTGTGAGCAAGACACGACAAGTCATTCTTCCGCTCTACTCTGCGCTGGTTAGGCCTCAGTTGGAGTATTGTGTTCAGTTCTGGACATCGCATTTCAAGAAAGTTGTGGAGAAATTGGAGAGGGTCCAGAGAAGAGCAACGAGAATGATTGAAGGTCTAGAGAACATGGCCTATGAGGGAAGGTTGAAGGAACTGGGTTTGTTTAGTTTAGAAAAGAGAAGACTGAGGGGGGAGGGGGACACATGATAGCAGTTTTCAGATATCTAAAAGGGTGTCATAAGGAGGAGGGAGAAAACTTGTTCATCTTGGCCTCTGAGGATAGAACAAGAAGCAATGGGCTTAAACTGCAGCAAGGGAGGTTTAGGTTGGACATTAGGAAAAAGTTCCTAACTGTCAGAGTAGTCAAACACTGGAATCAATTGCCCTAGGAGGTTGTGGAATCTCCATCTGTGGAGATATTTAAGAGTAGGTTAGATAAATGTCTATCAGGGATGGTCTAGACAGTAGCTGGTCCTGCCATGAGGGCAGGAGACTGGACTCAATGGCCTCTTGAGGTCCCTTCCAGTCCTAGTATTCTATGATTCTATGGCCTTTATTGTAAGTTAAGGAGACAACAAAAGAGGTAAAAGCAAGGTGAACATTTTCAAGAGAGCATGCTGTGTCTGTGCTTTGTCTTTGACACTCCACACTGAACTGAATCCAAACTAAGAAAGAAAGGGGGAGTTTTCTCTAGAAAACAAATTTAAAAAAAGATAAAACATAACAGAAAATCTGTCCTTTATCAGCAGGTTCTCTGTGGTTCTTGCTCTTAGCTTGGTCGAAAGATTCATAGACTCTGGAGTAGGGATTGTGGGAATGGAACGACTTGTGCAATTGAGAGAGAGAAATGGACAGAGCTGATTTGTTTAGTTCACAGGGGCTTAGAAGATATTCATCTCAAAATTGATCCATATCGGAAAATTCCCTAAACATTTAGCCAATTTCCTTTGGGGAGGAAGAAAACATGTTACGTCTGAAAATTCCCTAAACATTTGGCAAATTGAAAACATTGACTCAAGAACATTGAGTCTTTAGAATCAAAGGAACCACTTTACACAACGAGAAAGGAACACTTTACACATGTCTTTTCCTTCCTGGCTATTCTTCAATGTAAAAGCAAAGACACTGCCAGGCTAGACTGACAACATGGATGGGACTGGAAGAAGCAGTGATGCTCAATAAATATCTATTATTGCTTTGGTGAAGTCCTTGTTGTGCACTGAAATATTTGGGGAATGCTACTTGGGAACAGGATGTGCACCTGCCATTTTCTCATAATGAAATGACAGAATTTATATGAGCTGGTGTCCTGGAAGGTGCTGGACAATAAATGACACGTTTCATTCAGCATTACTAGGCCCCACGACCTAGAGGTTAGTTCTTTGTGCTGTTGGGTTGTAAAGCAGCATGTTCATGATGCTGACAGAAATAGAGCCCAGGTGTGAGCTCTTTGTGTAAGCCTGATGTCTATACCGATGTCTATATTCATCCAGGTGAAGAGGTAAAGACATTATGGAGAAGAAATGTGTGTGACATCGGTACAGACCTGACTGTGTGAAATAATCACAGTTGCACCCAGCATTTATAATCTATAGTGCTCAGAACACATTACAGCGGAGTGTTAATATAATCCATTGTCCAAATAGATACCTGAGTGGTATCTATCAAGGAATGAAGCAGGGTTTAGTGGAGCACCTCCCTAAGATGTAGTATCCCAGGGCCTGGGAGAAAATTCCCAATCTCTTTTCCCAAGCTTGACCTGGCTTTGGGTAGAGAAAAGGATTTACTGTGAAAACAGTCACCAAGGGAGCCTTTTTATGATGTTGGGGATCTGCAACAGCATGGCACCTACCACTCAGACACCCCTGGTTTGCTTGGCTGTGTCTATTGTCTCCAAACCATCCCAGCCCATGGAGCTAGAGGTGTCATCCATGGAAGCAACATTTTTGCCTCCCTGTGTCCTGCTGGCCCTAGCTCTCCAGGGCTATGTCTAGACTGCAAGCATCTTTCGAAAGAGGCTCTTTCGAAAGCATCTTTCGAAAGAGCCTCTTTCGAAAGAGAGCGTCTAGACTGCACGGAGAAATTTCGAAAAAGCGGCTTGCTTTTTCGAAAGAAAGCATCCAGTGAGTCTGGATGCTCTCTTTCGAAGAAGCCCTATTTACATTGAAGAACGCCTTCTTTCGAAAGAGGAACTTTCGAAAGAAGGCGTTCTTCCTCGTAAATTGAGGTTTACCGCCATCGAAAGAAAAGCCGCGTTCTTTCGAATTAATTTCGAAAGAACGCGGCTTGAGTCTGGATGCAGGGGAAGTTTTTCGGGAAAAGGCTACTTTTCCCGAAAAAAACCCTGAGTCTGGACACAGCCCAGCTGGGCCACAAGTTGTTCAGCTCCCTTTTGCTGCTGGCCACTTCCTCGGTGGCCTTTCCACTCCTCCAGGTCCCAACTCAGGGATCCTAACAATCGCAGCCACAGATCATCTCAATGTAACTAAGCTGCATGGAGTTCCCTGGGCCACTTCCTCAGGGTCCCAGCTCACATTGAGCCTTTACCTCGTGGCAAATAGACCCAACCAGAATTGTGCATCTACTCCCCCGGTCCCTACCTGCACTGAGCTGTCCAGGGTGCTGAAGTTCCATTCAGCCAACCTGCAGTTGAACGGTGCTACACTGACTAGGGATCTGGAGTGTTGACTTCTCAGAGTCTACAGGAGTGGTCTCCAACCTTTTCAAGCACAAGATCTTTTTTTGAATTTACGTGCAATCCAAGATCTACCTCAAACCCAAACACCCTTGCCCCATCTCTTTTGTGCCTCTTCTGTAAGGCCTTGCCCCGTTCACTCCATCCTCCCTCCCAAATCCTCCCTCACATTCACCAGGCTGGAGCAGAGAGTTGGGGGTGCAGGCTCTGGTCTTGTATTCAGGGGTCTGGAGTGCGAGAGGGGCTCTGAGCTGAGCTTGGGGCAGGCAGTTGCGGTGCCACAGGAGGTTCTAGGTGCAGGCTCTGCGAGGGTTTTTGGATGCAAGAGTGCTCAGGACTAGGGCAGGGGCTTGGGGTGCAGGAGGGGGTTCATGACTGAGGTAGGGTTTTGGGATATGGCCTCCAGCAGGGCACTGCATATGTCACATCAGTCAATAGCTTTTGGTGTCCAGAAACAACAAAACAAATCAACATTTGTTGATCAGTTCTACTCAGTACTGTAAACTGTGGGATGAAATTAGCCCTAAAATCATATTCCATAACTCTCATAGAAACTGCATCATTTAATAACAGAGGAGGCAAATAAATTCCCAGGGTATGAGCTACACTTCAGTTCACTGAGTACATTAATTAGTTGTGTCTCTGAGCTCAGGTATTCCCAGTTGCTCCAGGGATCATGTCCCATAGATCCCAGATCCCCGTATAAACCCCCCCTCCACAAATGCTCCAAAAAGGCAGATTCTGTCGATGGGGAAATGCTTCCGCATCTCCCACATGTCAGGCTATACGTGCTGTTGTCCTGCATCACAGTCACACACACAGACACCACAGTAATCAGCAGGTTTTAACATCAAAACCTCCAGCAACAGAAGCCTCCGCTTCAGCCTCAGCTCCTACCAGTGTGTTCTAGGGTGTATTTGGCAGCAGGGTTCATATGGGGAGCAGGATTAATCTGTGTCACAGTATGTGTACAGTGTGTGCATTGTATAGAACAACAGGATTGTCCAGTTGTAAATACCTGGCTCTGTGGACTAAGCCCTTCACCAATCTTGTACTAATGTCCATTAAGAAACTGATCTCCAGTCTTCTTCATTTATTTCTTTACAGAGAAGGGATAAATTACACAAGCTGTTGACTTGCCCACATCCCTGTAGCTGCCAGATCTCAGCTCAGACAAGATGGAAGAGGGAAATCACTCGGTGGTGACTGAATTCATTCTCTCAGGACTGACAGACCGTCCGGAGCTGCAGGTCCCCCTGTTTGTGTTGTTCCTACTGATTTATGTTGTCACCATAGTAGGGAATGGGGGGATGACCTTGTTAATCACGATTGATCCCCGACTCCACACCCCCATGTACTTTTTCCTCCGGAGTTTGTCTTTCTGTGATCTCTGCTATTCCTCAGTAATTGTCCCTAAGATGCTGCAGGATTTCTTAGCAGAGAGAAAAAGCATTTCGCACGCTGCCTGTGCTGTGCAAATATACCTCCTTGTCTCTTTTTCAGATACTGAGTGTCTCTTGCTGGCTGTGATGGCGTATGACCGTTATGTGGCCATCTGTAACCCACTGCTCTATAGCATCATCATGTCCAGGCAGCGTTGTAACCAGCTGGTGGCCGTGGTGTGCGCTATGGGGTTGGTGGATGCAATGATACAATCATGTTGTATATTTCAGCTGTCATTCTGCCGCTCCAACATCATCAACCATTTCTGCTGTGACATCCCCCCATTGCTGCCACTCTCCTGCTCTGACACCAGCATCAGTGAGACTGCGATGTTTGCCTCCATATGCTACATTGTAGCCACCAGTTTAGTCACCATCCTCCTCTCCTATGTCTGTATCATCTCCACCATCCTGAAGATCAGCTCTGCCGAGGGCCGGCGCAAAACCTTCTCCACCTGCACTTGTCACTTGATCACAGTGGGCATGTTTCATGGCATTCAACTCTTCATGTATTTACGTCCCTCCTCCAGCTATTCCCTGACCACGGACAAAATAGCCTCGGTGTTTTACACGGCAGTGATCCCCTTTTTGAACCCCCTCATCTACAGCCTGAGGAACAGGGAGGTGAAGGACGCCCTGAAGAAAGTAATCAATAAATTCCTAAGCCATCTGTGAATTTTTTACATTGAGTTTGATTTGAGTGAGGAGGGGGGCAAACCAGGTCAATTCAATTCCCAGCAATGCATTTCAGGGGAGCCTGTTGAGGTATTGTTAAATATTATATTATTATTATTTATTTGTTTGTATTTCAACAAGGCCTCATTAGACTTCTGCCCCAGCAACATTCAAGGAGGTGCCTGTTTCACATGTGTATGTATATATGTGATGTGCTTTGAAAGCAAGGAGCTGTTTGTCCTGGGTAAGAAGGGGTAGCATCAAATCTAGCTTCCTCTTTAAGTGTGTGATTTCTGTGGTTGAAACAAAGAAAGTTTGGCACATCCTCCTGGTGTTTTGTGGTCCTTCACTTGCTCCAGGGGGAGGCTGTGGTAGAGATTGTCACCTGGTTTCTGTCCCTGCACTGTTAGGAGAAAGGCAATTTCATTCACCATGGCCTTTATTTTAAGGGAAAAACAAAAGATGTAAGATAAAGGGGACCATTTCTAAGATAGTGCGGTGTGTGCTTTCTCTTTGAGGGTGTGTCTAGCTGTGCCAATCAGCAGTTTGTCAGCACAGCGCAGTAGTCTAGGCGAGGATCAGTTGACCCCAGAGCCCTTTGTTGTCAGATCCTTTATGTCTCGTGAAACGAGGCTTACAGGATCTGACAACAAAGGGCTCCGGGGTCGGGTGATCCCTGTCTAGACTACCACTCTGTGCCGACAAACATGTGATCGGCACAGCGTGGTGGCCATTTTGATGTAAATGAAGTGGCGATTATTTAAATTGCCGTTTCATTTTGCTATGTCTAGCAAAGTCATCTACATGGCTCCGTTGATGGAACCATGTAGTCTAGACACACCCTGAGAGTCTACACTGAACTGAATCCCAACTAGCACAAGAAGGCGAGTTTTCTCTACAGCATACATTTCAGACAGAAACTTGATACTTGTTCCTCACTAGAAGGTTCACTCTGAGTTCTGGCTCTCAGCCTTTTAGGAAAGATTCCTAGCCTCTGAAGAATAGGGACTGTGGGAATTGTACAGCTCAGAGGGCTGTAAGTGAGAAATGGACAGAGCTGGACCAAAAGCTGATTTTTGTGTTCATGGGGGGTTAGGAAATATTCATTTCAATCTTAACCATGTCTGAAAATTCCATACACAATTGGTAAACATGGACCAAAATCTCCATTAGAAGCAAAGGCGACGTTTTACACAACCAGGAAATGGAGTATTTCTTTTCCTTCCTGGGTCTTGCTCAATGTAAAAGCAGTGAAAAATATTATCACCTGGTTTCTGTCCATGCATTGTTAGGAGAAAGAAGGTTTCATGAGCAAAATGGATGGGACTGGAAGAGACGGTGATGCTGCTCTTTTTCTTGTAAACGTTAGTCCAGTGGTTAGAGCACTCACATGGGATGTGGGAGATACAGGTCAGTCCCCCTCTGTCTAATCTGTTAAAACAGAGGGACTCCCACATTGCCGGACAATGCACTGGTGACTGATCCAGGATTGAACAGAGCCCATTCTCAGGACTAGTTGATGACAGTGCTATTACGTGAGCTAAGTTATGCTACTTCAAGTTGGTGCAACTTAGTTTGATTGACAGTGGTGTCCATAACATGCTATGTCCACAGGGGAGTTACTTAACTGAAATAATGTAACTTACATCTCCTGATAACATTAGTATAGACAAGCCCCAAGAAAAATCCATGAGGGAAAACAGTCTCTGAGGGGAGTGGGGTACAGACATCGGTAGGCAAGTGCTCTCCCATTGACCTGGCTTGTCTTCTCCAGACTTGCTAAATTAACACCGCTTCATTTATTGCAGCAGTGCCGGGTTAATCAGTTCTTTAGACCTAGCTCCAGTCTCTCCCATTGGACCTGTTGACTTTTGGTTGACCAACAGGAAGAACCACAGGTCCAGAAAGAGAGAGCGATTCTGTAGACTGGTTGCTAGGGGTACCCACCCAACAGGGGAGATGCTCATCTTCATGGCTCTGTTCCAAAGAGTATTCTATTACTTATCCTCAGCAGAACATATATGAAAAGAGAGACTGAGAGCAACCCAGACTGAAACAATACAGAAGTCAGTGGCTGTGGTTCATTATGGAGAGGCAGGAAACCGTAGTGTAGGGGTGGGGAAACTTTCTTGAGCTGGGGGCCACTGACCCACAGAAAAACCAGTCAAGGGCTGCACCCAAGTGAGAAGTGGAATAAAACCCTCACTGTGGCCCCCGACTAAGGAGGAAAAAGACACTTTCCTCATTCCCCTCACACACCAGAGCTTGTGGGGGCAGGCTAGTAGATGTTGTAAGCTCCAGCCCTCAGGGGGGAAGCAGAGAGGCTGGAGTGCCAGTACAAACTCCCCAATGCTGGAGGGGCACTGAGCCTCAGGGGCTGGATCCAGGCAAGCCGATGGCTCCTGGGCTTGAGGTTCCTCACCCCTGCCCTAGTACACATCTTTCACCCGGAATTGGACAAAAACAGGTATTGGAACTGGATCTCCCACCTCACATGTGAAAACTGTAACAATTGGGTAAACATGTAAAAAGGGAGGGTGTACCACTGCCTCCTACCTTTGACTGTCATGTGACCAGCAGCTAAATTCCTCCCCAGATACATGCACATGGTTTTGAGACAAAGTTACTAGGAGAATTTGTGAATTGTTTAAAATGAACCAAAGCATCATTGTTTTGGCAATAAATGATTAATCCAGAAAAAATGCACCCATTTCTCGACTCCTTTGTGTCTTGGTCACTGCACCAAATATTGACAATAAGGAAAATAGGTTATGGAGCTTATGAATTTCCAAGCCCTTTCTACATCTTGCTACACACTGGATGAAGGAGCAGACACTCAAAACTCTCAAATTGGATGATTGCAGCTTCTGTAGGCAATATTAAAGAATTGACATGGTGCTCCACTATCTGTTGATGTTTACACTTACGGTAGTTTGATATTTCTCTCCTAGGGTGCCAGATAATTTGATTACGTATACATGCAAAATGAAATAAAATGACACCTCAAAATGAGTATTGTATTGATTGTCAGAATTTCCATATTAGCTAGTGCAGCATTATCTCCATTATACAGATGAAGAACTGAGGGACTGAAAAAGTAAATATCTTCCTTCGTGAATGCACTAAACATAGGCAGTTGAGCTGGAAACTAAGCTTCAAAGTTTGGAGTGCTAGACTAAGTCTCTACCAACTGGACAAGCTTTCCTACTCATGACAGTATAGAGATAGTAGTGTAAAACCAACATGTAAGAGCAGCAACAGAGCCCTCATTCTATACATAAAGATCATTATCTGCTGATCATCATTGTCATGGTGTAATATGTGTATGTAAAACAAAAAGATCCTACTGTATAACATTACTGAGTTCCTCATAGACAAAGACAAACTGATGTCACAGCTAAGTGTCAATCAAATCAAATTATATCGCAGCTGGTTACAGGACCATTCTTGGGCAGGAAGTAATGGTATAAGTAGGAAATCTACATTTTGATTTACTGGTGGGGTTTTCGGTCCCCTCAGACTTTTGTCCCTTGAACCCCCAGCTAGAGATGATCCTTGCCCAACAGAAATAGGACTATAACAGGCAAAGGCAAATGCCCAAGCTCCTCTTCATCCCTTTCTTTCTGCTCATCACATCTACAAATCTGAAGGAAAATAAAGGAAGGGAGTCTGGCTAGAAGGCATCCAACTAGTAAAACTGCAAAAGCAGGTGGTGAGAGAAATCTTTCCTAAGCTAGGTATGAGTTGCATTTTACCTTTTATTCCTTTGTAACAAATTTTCAGTCTTCTGTCTCACTATTGATATTATTGAGGCTCTTCTGGTTTTGTACTGAAATATTTGGGAACCTCCACTTGGGAACAGGATTTGCACAGGCCATTTCCTCATAATAAAAGGACAGACTTTATAAGAGCTGGTGTTGTCCAGGAGGGTGTTGGACAGTACCAGGCACACATTTCATTCAGCATCACTAGGCACTGTGACCTAGAGGTTAGTGCTCTGTGGTGTTGTGTTGAAAAGCAGGATGTTCACAAAGCTGCCAGAGGTAAAGCCCAGGTGTGATCTCTTGATGTCTAGGCTTGATGGCTAGACCAATGTCTAGATGAAACCAGGTGAAGGGGAGAAGGCACCGTGGAGAAGAATTGTGTGTGACATTGGAACAGACCTGAAAGTGTGAAATACTCACAGTGACACCCGGCATTAATAATCTATAGCTCTCAGAACATGTTACAGCTGAGTGTTAATTTAATACAATCTATTGTCCTAATACAGCACCTGAGACATATAGGCTGTGACTAGACTGGCAAGTTTTTCCGCAAAAGCAAGTGCTTTTGCGCAAAAACTTGCCAGCTGTCTACACTGGCCACTTGACTTTGCACAAAAGCACTGACTTTCTACTGTCTGAAATCAGTGCTTCTTGCGCAAATACTATGCTGTTCCCGTTTGGGCAAAAGCCCTTTTCCGGAAATGCTTTTGCTCAAAGGGGCCAGTGTAGACAGCTGAAAACTGTTTTGCGCAAAAAAGCCCCGATGGCGAAAATGGCGATCGGGGCTTTCTTGCACAAAACCAGATCTAGATTGATATGGATGCTTTTCCACAAAAAGTGCTTTTGCGGAAAAGCGTCCGTGCCAATCTAGATGCTCTTTTCTGGAAATGCTTTTAACGGAAAAACTTTTCCGTTAAAAGCATATGCGGAAAATCATGCCAGTCTAGACGCAGCAATGGTGTTTAAAAGATTTGCCCAAAATTTCTTCGTTGGAGTAGTGGTTTTGAGAGCAGACCCCAAATCCTATGTACCAGGACCAACATATTACCTTGGGTATGTTGTGGGTCAGTCTTATTCTGACACATAGAGAATGGGAAGTGACTGTCTAGAAAGAAGTACGGCAAAAAGTGATCTAGGGGTTATAGTGGACCATAAGCTGAATATGAGTCAGCAGTGTGATGCTGTTGCAAAGAAAGCAAACATGATTCTGGGATGCATTAACAGGTCTGTTGTGAG